GAACAACAAACTTGCCCTTAAAGTTGTTTTAGTGGATCCTTTAATAGGTCCGCGATTTGGCTCGTTTTAGTCATATCAAAGTGAACGCCATCAATCACATTCGTAATGTCAAAGGGCGGGTAGGTACGATGCATCATCGCTGCTCCTCGTGATACTTCGCCTGCACACAGTCCACTTGCGTCACCCACCTCCACCGGACCACGATCCATGCCATACTTAATGCTCTCCTCATTTAACTCTGCATCTAACGCCAAATCATTCCTAAACTCTCTAAACAGACATGTCAACTGCAAGCCGTTAAGCTGTAGAAAACAACGAGCAAATTCTGCTTCGTTTGTGAATGTCGTCTCCTCAAAACACTACCTCGGATGTGCTTGAAACCACCTGTCCAAGTAGTTATCAGCCTCCTCCCATCCGTGGATATTATTGTTGAGGAAAAATCACTCAGTGTAGCTCTTACCTGGGTCAGAATGGAAGGAAGAATAAAAAAAAAATGAAAAAAATTCAGTCATTCATCAAAAGCGAATTAGGCAAGCTGCTAAGAAGTTACGATTTTATCGTACCCTATAAACCTTTACTGCCATTCATGTAACAAGTCATAGCGGAAAAAGGCAAGAATAAAGGAAAAAGTTTGATCCATCCACCGAAATTGGGGAGGGATGGTGACTGTGAAACCCTCACCCAAGACCGTGATCCTCTAGTCGTACACCAGTGTAAACACAAGGCGACTTATATGCAACAGAACCCGACAATAACCAAAGTGTTGCTCCATTTCATGTTTACTGACAAATTAAGTTTTTTTTTTGTTTTTTTGAGTTTTGGCGTTTCGACTTAATTCTCCGTAAGGGTGGTAGTCCTATCGTTGCCAGAAAAAAGTGGTACTAAAACGATCCGCCTGTCATGCACAATTTCTCTCTTGCTGATTGTTTCCCAAGCCTGAGGGTTTACTGTTTGACTTAGTTTCATTTGTGGACGAGAATCACTTCAATGACTGACACAAAGGCTGAGTGAAACCTCCTCGATTGGACAAGTTGATGCGTAGTTTTTCTTGCCCCTTCCACTCGTCAAGACGTTGTGCTTTTCAAATATTTGTTCGGCTTTAACTCAGTCCGCATGTATTTAAAAAGGCTAATCCTTTCATTGTGACAACGAGAGGCCTAAAACACAGAACTTTAGAAATGTGAAAAGAGTTGTGGGGTGCATATAACGTAAACAATGGCAGATATTTCATCGCACTCCTCCTATCACATCTCAATCACTCGGTCGGGCGCCACTTAACCACAGTGACAAATGGAGCTCGGGAATTGCAAAGCAACATTGTGGAACTTCACCTGATCTACCTCCAACTTGTGCAATGTCTTTGACGCGTCACACTTGCTTGTACTTTTGAGCATGGCACTTTCATGCGCCCGCACACGACTAACGCCTCCTTTCAAGTTGGTCCAGGTAAATTCAGATAACAACTTAATGCCCACTTAATTGTAAGGGTATTAGAAGAAGCAATGCCGCCGAGGCTGCAGCATGGAGACATGTGCAAGGAGACAAGGCCATTTGAAGAGGGGAAAGTTGCACGTAAAGGGTCTTGCAATTGCGAGGATTTCTAGGGAGTGCCACAGAACTAGGTCCCCTTTCGACAGTCAGTTGACTCCTCATTCTCCAGAAATGACCGCCAACTAAATTGTTTATTTGCGTAGAAAAGGAAATGTAAAAAATAAAAAGCTGCATGATCTGGGTCCATGGGGGTGTGGAGAACCGGCACCACTTGGACGGAGTCTGTTGGCAGGCAGCTTCCACCCCGCCAGCAAAGGAAGCGATTTCCAACTGCATTCTTAAAAAGGATTAGCCGAGGTCTCCAGACGCTACGTTGAAGCCGCCTCATTTAACGAAGCGCAGAGCGCGATATGTGAGCCTGAGCGCCTTCTGTAGGCGAGCGATGCGAAATTTGAGGTGCACGAAGACAGAGTTGTGGATTACGACTTCATTTGGACCTCATTGCTAGTCGAGACGATCATTAATGTGAAATTGTTGCTAAGTTCACGAGTTCATTTGTTTATTTGCTTATCCGTTTTTCACTCACGCATTCGCGGATGTGCGTTTGGGCTTCCTCCCTGGCTAAATACAGATTTCCGACTGTGTTGACAGAAGGGGATACTCCTTTTAGACCCTCCAAAATGCAGAATTATGCTAGCAAGAACTTTTTTACCTATAGAACCCAAAATAAAATCCCTTCTTTACTGGAAGTGTACTTTATCTTAAACCAGCCATCAGCAATAGACAAACTTTATAGTCCATAGTCGACTTCCGTGGGTACATTTCGGTAGCAGACAACAGATAAATAACAGGGATTAACCTTATCAAAAGGTCTGTAGAGACACATTTGTTCACCGAAGGTCAGAGACAATTTCTTCAACAGGATTAATTAGTAACATCACTGACTAAAACCTCTCGATCGGTAACACATAATGCATGCATTTTGTACCCCAACAAATTTCCTCCAAGTTGATAAAGAGGGTCGGTCCACCTCCCAATCCGTTTTGCTAGACTCTGACTTTCTCCTACAGATAGCATTATCAAACACTGGTGTTTACCAGACGACTTAAGTGGTGGTAAAACGGTAGAAAGGAAGAATTATTCCTTCCATGGCTTCAAAATGTGAGACCACATATCACATAAAATGGCTTTGGAAAGCTTATCAGTGCATTTGCTTGGAACAGCTTTCGGTCATTGGAAATGTTTGCTGTCATCTTTGGTTAATCAAGCTGTCAATGTTTAAATGCCTTCCACCCTTACTGCAGCTCATAAACGCTTAACTTGGAAATTTAAATAAATATAAGGCGCTACAGGGTGTAATTTACACTTGCACTTGTAGGAGGCTAATGGGGCGATGGAGGGGGAATGGAGGGAGGGCGAAGGGGAGGGAGGGCGCGGAAGCAGGTACGAAGGTATCTCCTCTTCCATCCTAAAGGTTAATGCCTCAGCGGATGTTTGTGTGCCTGTGTATGTGTGTGGATGTATGCATGTATGTAATTGTGGTTTTTTACGGTCTTGATTATGCCACCGTGGTTTGTTTTGCAATGTCTGTGGGAAAGGCTGGAGATTGAGACAGCAGATAGTTGGACTTCTCCTGTCGTTGTGGTCAAAGACTAACCGCTGAATCACCTCGATTTCTACCAAGGCGTCTATCATGCATGTTACTCGACCACATTTTATTGTGTGCTGCCTTATGTGTAAGTATGTTTTAGTCATGGATGCCCAATTTTGCTATTAAAACTGTGAAGATTTAGCAAACGGAACTAGTATCATCTAAAAAGGAAAGCAGCAATTAGAAATTTGACGGCCGACCCGAGAATAGTTTTTTGCCTCACCTGTAGACAAATAAGTGTTCGGATAGTTTACGCATCTGTCTTAGAAAGGACTATTTAAGTTCGTCGCGTGCTACTTTCTCACGATTTAAGTAGTATATTTGATCGAGGCTGATTCCATTGCTGAATAGTTGTATATAATCGCCTTTCTTGCACAAAAATCAGGCAGGTGAGGCTTGTTTGGTAACTATTATTAGAGGTACCTTTTTTGTGCATTTAGCTTGATCTGAGACTACTCCAGCAACTATAAATCAGTTGTTCTTTTACTTAAGCGATTTGCGGGTCATTTGCTCATCCTCCCAAATGTTAACGGACGTGGGTTAAACAGTATTATGAACGACCAAGGGTAGCAGCATTTAAAACTCAACCACTCACAGGCTCATCAAAAGTGAATTTCTTCTGTCGAAGGATCCACTTGACCTTCTAAAGCAATCAAAGCCGAATGGGAGCATCTGAAACGCACGTGTTTATTTGTCGATGGGCGACTCCATCCTGACAACAAGCTAGCCAAGTCGTTGTTGAATAGGAACCAGCGTTTAAGGTGTTCCCGGAGGAAAATGCATGCGTTTTTTTCGCCACCAGCCTTGCTATTTGACCTCCATGGGCGTTTCCTTTGCTTCAAGTATAGCACCGGTCGCCATTTATGGCTTGGTTTTATTGCCTCCGAGAATACGCACTGAGTCTTGGCTGTGATTATCACTATCGCACTGTTTCTTTCCATTTCCTGAAGCGAGTTTATGAAGACATCAGTTATAATCCTAAGTCTGCACTTTGTTTCATTCCATTTTCTACACAAAACAGGTCATTCCCTAGTGTTCAAAGTGAGCATTTATCAACACAAGGAGGTCATCAAAAGGAAAAAGGACACTGGAGGCATTCATTTAGTGCACTAACTATCGGACGAGATAAGCCCATGGAGGTCCGACAACAAGTTGACAACGTCTGACTGAGTCCGAGTTGTTTGTTTGTGCTGCTGTGGTGACTGATTTGCCTTAAAATTGGAGAGGAGGAGAGTTGTTTGCACAGTTGAAATCGAGGCAGTTCTCCCGAATGCTAGGCAAATTCATTAAGAAAATGGCGACGGTACGTAGGTTAAAGAGAAGCATTTACTTTTTGAATTCTCATCCATCACAATTTAATCGTTGCGTACCGGGGGAGGGACACATTTGCTTTACAGACCTAACCAAGCCAGAGAAAGGTTTAGCTGCCCGGAGAAACAATGATAATCGGTAAAAGCAGATTGTAACAAAAACTTCCCCTTGTCTTCTGTGTTTATACTGTCAAAGGTCTCTGCTTGAGTGAAGTTGGATATGTAGAATAAAAGTTATGAAGAGGGACTCGTTTTTGGACTGATATTCCAACTTTCGCCAGTCGGAACGACATTTGGTGCATGCTACCTAGTGATCCACTTTTTAGAAATGCCTCTATCGTGCATAGTATGAACTAAAATTGCTTGATCTCTATAATAATTTTCTTCCACACATCCCTACAGACCGATTTAGTCACTCAATGCTAAACAGTCCTTTATATTTAAAATAGCGGCAGGCTAATATCCATAGTATCATATCTCTCCCATTTTAACTGTTGACTGTCTTTTAGATAATGTGTTGACAATTACGGGTCGAAAAATCCACTGGCATGATCATCTTCCTTGTACATATCTTCTCCCTCCTCACACTTGGCGTTTCAAGAACGTCGACCACCCAGGCCATACTGGTGGGCTTGAACACCTCCCAATCTGATTCCAGCCAATCAGAGGAGCGCCGTGATACACACGAAGTGCAATTCCACTACCGAATTGCGGCCAATAGGATGGGCCATCTCACGTGTGAGGTGATTTTGAGCTCGGAAGCAAGACAAGCCCTGATAAAATCGGGGAACCAAAGTTTAAGTCATGTCTATCTTCGATGTCCACAGGTATATTTGCCTCTTTCATTACCATAATTGCCTAAATAAAAGCTTGACAACTATCTTTTTAGGATTGTCAAATATGCACTTGTCAGTCATACATGTAAGCAGAATAGCCAATGGGTTGTTAGTATCTCGACTTCGTGTCTGAACAGGAGCAAAAGTTTAGCATAAATTCAGTATGGAGATGGCCATGGTAATAATGGTGAAACCATGTCGATACACACTATCGCAATGTTGATGCTTAGTTGGAGAACCGGAGAGCTCATTTCGGATGTTCAAAGTTAGGATATTTGCGTGAAATTCATGGCATGTAACAAACAATTTTGCACTCATTCTCCCTGAGCTAAGGCGTAGAAAGTTGAATGTGGTGAACTCGGATTTGTGTTGCTAACATTTACGCAATCTATTCGTTGCGATCACCCACCCATTCGTATCTATTTCGTCTCCAGTCATTCATAGTATATCCGTCTATTCATTTATTTATCCATCTGTCCATTTTTTAACTATCATCTGCCTCCACGGCTTTGGTGTCAGGTGGTAATTGAATCTTTACATCGATAGTACACCATGTTATTTAAATTAATAGCCGTTACTATAAAGGACAATTTAACTCATCGATGCCAGTGCTCCTGTTTGCTTTCTGTGTAACCTTCTGTCTGATCCCCACGCCGTGGTCACCTGTGTATTTGGCGATGGAATGGAAAGGTGGAGAGCAAAATAAGCATTTGAAACTTCCAAGACTCAGAAAAGAAACTGTGTCGTTAACTCGTTTTAGGTTGCAACAGAGATCTGCTATGTAGACTGCACACCAGCCTGTGTTTTTGACGAAGTTGAGGGCTGCGTGGTGCCTACCACCCTCTCCTCCGTCATTGAGGGGTGTCGCTTCGAGCAAAGACGGGACAGCGGCAGTCTTTTGCTTGAATACACCGTAGATATGGAAGCCCTTGATCGAACGGGTGACTGGAATTGCGAGTATCAGGGTGTTTCGGCACCTCGAGCTCTCAAATTGCAGGCTTCACCGCGGCTGCCCATCACTACGACAATACCAACAACAGCCTTCAAAATTAGCATGACTACAAGTGCCACTATCAATGCTATTGCTCCGGTGGTGACGATGAAAGCACGCTTTCCGCCCTCGGCTGTTAAAGATGCCAGGCCAAAGTCGGGTAAGTTTTTTTCTGCAAGCTTCATGGGCATGCAAACTTTGAGCGAAATAGTAACCGAACTACTACATCGGATCGTTGCTTCACAAATTAGATCTAAGGCTAGGCAAATGGTTTCAAAGTTCCCTGAATTGTTGCTAACTCTGAATAGCCCTTCAATTTAACACCCTCTCCAGTCTCCCTCTAGCAGAGGCCATTACCATTCCCACTTGTCTGGAACGTCTCCAAACGTGTGCACCTGCTCGCGTTCAGCAGTTGATCAGTAACCCGCACTTTAAATTCGCAACTCATCCCTTCAAGGAAACGATTTCTTTCAAGACTATTGTGCAGAACTTTCATCACCTTGCGTCAAGAGTAATTAACCTGCAGTCGCCCGTACGCGTGCTCGCTCATACCTCTCGGTAGTGGGGACATCTCATGGAGTTTTCTGGTTTGGAAGTTAACAGACATAATTTATAACTCAATGGCTACAAATTTGCATGCCTCTGATGCGAAGGTCAGAAGGTGGTTGGACGAAGTTCACACCTCTACCACCAAAACAGGTTGCTTTTCACATGAACTTTTCTCTACAAAACAACACGCAATAACTTTATAGGGCAGTCGTAAAATGTCGACATATTAAGCGACATTCTCTTATGATTGATGAATTAGAAGTGCGGAGAAGATCATAGCACAACTGTTAACCAAGGGTTGAAGAAACGTCGTCGACTATTGGCACATTTTTTTGCGGCGCTACCATTCAGAGGCGATGTGAGGTCCCGATTTTATCAATGTAAACACCTGATAATGTAAGTTCAGCGCAAAATCGCACAAATGAAGCTGCAGCGACCAAACAGTCAATCCACCTGAGCGTTGTCATCTCAATTTCACCTGGGTAATTCACAACAACCGACTAACCAATTGAATGGCTCGAATTTTCGGTTGTAATGCTCCTTTTTTTTACTACAGGATTCGATTGTTGTCATTTAGGTGGTTCCGTAAAAATCTCATTCCCCTTCCCCATTGCCCTCCACCGTCTACAGAGAAGCCTCGACATGCAGCACTGGTGTTCCTAGATTTAAAAAAACCAAATGATAGACATTAATTAGCTTTAATCTAAACACAATATTTCAACATTCTGTCGTATGAAAATTTTTTTCTATTTATCTCCAGCCGCGAAACCGGCGGCTTGTTTGGGCGACCTTGAGGCATTAGTCCGGTTTAGTGGTGGCCACCTGCATCCCCATGGCTTCATTCAGTCTTGTCATAAAATCATGCTTTTTGCATGAAAGACAAGCATTTACTTCACCTATGGCATCATGAAATTCTTCAACTTGTATGTTGGACAACTTTTACTTCTACAGACCTGCAATTGCCATCACTTCCCGGCATGTTAGACGAGGTTTAAACTGTTCATGCATTTTGTTGAGTCACTACGCTGTCCCACTCCCGCAACAATCCAAAGGCAGCATCTCTTATTTCGACACAATCAATGCGTCGCCCACGATTTTGTACCTTCTCTTCATCTTTCGCATTCTCTTGCCTTTAAGGAGTGCGTGAATTGAGCTTGAATGGTTCGGCTGTTGTTACATGGTAAATAAATTATTTTCGATGTAATAACTTGATGATGCAACCTAATTTAAGCCCACCTTCTAGTGGTTACAACGGCGGCGGTTGAATGTCCAATTTTTTGTCAAAATGGGGGCGATACATTTTGTTTTGGAATGGAAAGAAAAGGGGGTGGGCGGTAGAAAACATCACTCGAGGGCCAATTAGCAGATGCCACACGTGATGGTGGTCTCCGTCTCTCCTCTCTCTCTCTCTCTATCTCGTCTCCCCTTCCTCTCTCATGTTTCCCAGGTGTGTGGCGTCTCGTTTTTGTGGTGGTTTCAAATGCAGCCTAAGTAATGATTCACAAAGTGCAGACTGCTTTTCGGGGCTAAAACCTGCCTGTCAGGCTTGATGAAACCGAGAGACTGGATTTTCAATCCCTGCTCTAGCAACCAGGTCTGACTTTATGCACACAGGAAAGCCCTGGTGCTCCGTCATCTGTAGGCCAGCAAAGGTGTAAGACGGCGGAGGGAGTCGCTTGAGCTGCGGAGGAGACACTGAGACGTTCCACAGTTGTGTGTCAAGGTCTTCGTACAGACTTCCATCTCCTAGGTGTGTGTTTGGACCTTTGTGGTCAGTGGAGCATGACATATATCAATACAATGTCTGCTTTCTGCTTATTCTACCACGAGAAGGCCAAGCGTCAAATAAAACCACCACGTCGTAAATGACATAATTTATCGAAGTTGTTTACGATGCTTTTAATTACGCTCGGTCAAAATTTATTGCACCCCCTCCCCCCCCCTTAATTCACCCTCGATTTGACCGAGTGTGAACGCTCACCCTATGATTTGTGCAATTTACCTTTTCGCGATTGTTTTTATCTTTAAATTAACTCACTTTTTAAGTTATCAACTGTAATTTCTATAGCTCGTTTCCACAGTTTTGACAAAAACTAAGTGAGCAAAAATTAAGACACGTTTCCTTGTGCCGAACGAGCTATCGCGTTGTGGCTGCCCAACCCCGGAAGTGATTTTAACAAAGCATTTCGGTCAAGGGCAGTTGAATTACATTATCTGTACACGATTTTAAACACAATTTGATGCCTAAATGTCATTCAGAAAAACAGTAGAGACGCCTTGAGTATTCTCTGGGTTTCTAAAAAAAAACCTTATAATTATGATGGAAGCTGTATCATCCCGCGGGGGAGAGGAGGGGGAGAGGGGGGCCCAAATAACTGAGATTGTCATTCCATATCGGGAGACCGCGTAGCCAAGTTGGATCAAAGCCGAAGATACTTGGGTACTCCTTTTGCTAAAATGTGGAGTTAAACAAACAGTCAAAGACCACTCGCCTTGGCCTCCCCGTAGGCAGACCTCCCTTCACTCTTCAATCAGCCACACTTGGGAGCAATCCTGAGGCCACCTAGCACTCACGCTACTGATTCACCCTAAATAACGCCACCAAACGCGAAGGGTTGCCCAGTTTTTAGGGTGAATGGGAAGGTGACAATCATTGCAATTACCTATTTCAGCCGTCTAAAGTCACTGAATGTAAAGCGAGCATTAAACTTAGAGCAAGGATTAGAGAGTTGGGCAAATGACGCTCCTTTCCCGCGATGAAATGGGAGAACTCTTCTCCGGCAAACATTGACTGATTGTGCAACGCCTTGTTTGTGCACTTTGTGGTAGTCCTGACTTCGCCAAACTATCATGAAGCAGAAATGTGTGATCTCCAGCACGGTTCTCCTACATACAAAGCAAACGTGTTTATTTGGGAGGTGAATTGGACGCCTTCGAGGTGGTTTTTTGAATGGTGGACTACTGGCACCTGTGCCTACATCTGCACGAACTTTGTTTGCCAACAAATTAGTAAATATTTTAAACAATATTTTAATGTAAATAGTGCTTTGTATTGTATGTTCGAAAATGCAACAACGTTTATTTGCCCCAAAATTTCATTTCGAAACACCTTAACTTTTGGAAGGAATGGTAAAGAGGTGAGCAAAAGGTTTTGGTTCATGAAAGAAGTGATTATGATGGTTCTATCGTCTTCTCTTTCTGGATTTTTGCGGTTCTGCGTTTCTCCTCTTCTCGTCTTGTGGGGTTTACCTAATCACAGCGCCATGACTAATTCGAGGGGTTTTCGAGTTGTTTGACCTTTTTTGCTGTCAGTGGACGGCAGAGAGATGGCGATTGCGGTGTCAATGATGAGGCTGCTGTGGTTAGAAGCGGAGAGAGCCTCTCGTTCGGTTCTGTTGCCTTCCCAAGACCCCTTTTTGATTCAGCTTTATGCTTTCTCTGTTTTCCACAATGCCTCTAAGAGGCATCAGCAACTGCCATTTGAGAAGCGCTACTGCATGAGCGGATGGGAACTGTGTTGAATGAAAAGATTTTGCAGAGTTTCATTTTGACAACTCTCCTTATTAGTTTATTATGCCATCTTGGTAAAGCATTTGAGGTGCACCATAGCATAGCCTTGAAAGGTCTTGCCAAGGGAACAGTGAAAGTAGCTCAATTTAGTAATCTTGATAGCTGAAAGCAAACGCTCTTCAAATGGGGGAATGAAGGATAAACTTAGCGAATCCATTGCGCCAATTCTTTTTCCATGCATGCAGAACAGGGGAACGTCTCATTTGCTACTTTTTTATCGGCTACCTACGCGTTGTGCGACTTCAATTGGGGTCAATGCTCGGGTCAAAGCACAGCTCTTAATGTTATTGACGCTAGTAGCGCCAATGCTAGTGGTCATCGTAAGTGGGTGCGCATTCACAGTCGCTTGAGGCAGGAGGCAAATGCGACGCAAAGAATCGCAAATCTCCAACTCGTGAATCTCACCTTGCTGATGAGGCGCTGAATATGGTTCGGTTCAATGGTGCGACACTTGTGATCAGCAACGAGACATTTAAACACAACAAAGCAGTCATATCTGACGCCGAAACACTCAGAGCATGAAACACAAGGCGTTGTGAGAATAGGAGAGAGATAAATGTTTTTCTTTCAATATTTTTGTTTTAAAATGTAAAATAGACCTCTAGAAAACGTTCTTGTTGTAATGCTTCAGACATCGCTACATTTGAAACTGTACGTCGTATTCCACCATCATTGCACATGGATGTGGTGCGAGTGTGCTGACCGAGGTCATTCAAGTGCTAGAGACGTGAGAGATTGATTCCGTCCTGCCGTAACCAATCGAGGGAACGCTTCTTGCTGCACAACCCACAAACCTTGATGCTCACATGCTTCAGCCGGAAAGGCGTCTACATTGAACACTTTGATCAGATGTTCGATAGGAACGTCCAGACTGATACACACGCAACAAAATATTTCCACTTTAAACGGATGCTGAAGTAGATTAAACGGCCTCAGAATGTTCCATGTCCAAAACTCCACCTCAAAGCGTGAATAAGCGACGGGTTGAAGGTGTGCCATTATAGTAGGCGGTTGCGTAATTGCACACAGGCATTTACTCGCCATTTTTATGCTCAAGAATTCCAATTCCGTTGCAACGCCTCTTTATTAGTCTTCCTAGCCATAATCATAGGCGGAAACCTAAAAACGTCAGAACTGAGTTGATTACCTTCTGTGGACTGCGAGAAAACATCCATTGATAGGCAGCATTGAAAACGGGAGGTCTTCTATTATCCCATTAGCATGTGTACTATTCTTTCCACTACGTCCCTGTTCTTCGTAGTTATTCCTTGTAATTTTTATTTTCTGTCCTATGATTTCCCAAAATTAGAATCTTTTTGCCTTGGATTTTAAGTTGGATAAAATTGTAGAATCACAAAATAATTTAGGATTGATTTGAGTACGTTCTAAGTTCTGATGTATGCGCTACAGGGAGCAAAAAAGGGTGTCCTTGAAGACCAGAGTGTTGGGTTAAACTGGATCCACAGATGCTTGCCAGCCTACCTAATTGAGGTGTTTTCAGTCGTCGCTGACGTCAAAATAAGTAGTAAAGAGGACATTTGAACTTTACTGGTGTGATCCACAGATGGTGTTCCAGAATAAAAGTACGATCAATGGTGGCTCGACTTTGCACATTGCTGCCACAAATTACATTTTTTTCTATTTAATTTGAACTGAGGTCCTTGAAACGCGTGTCAGAAAGCTGAAATTTATTTGAATGGACGCAACACGCCCGCACTCATTTTCTTCTCACGAACTTCAATTTTCACCATCCCAATACCCCTTCACTATCGGCCTGACATATTCTCTGTTCCTTAGACGCAAAGTTTGGGCATTAAGGCTGGCAGATTTTTGAGTATTGCATTGTGATTTTCAAAAGACAATTACTAACCCCTTTGAATGAGTCGCAAACAAACTCCGACTGTGCTGTACCATTGGCCTAGCAGCTATTGACACGATTAGGGGGCCAGGAATGGGGTTACCAACTTCAAAAGTTGCTCGCCCCTCCTTATGGTTACTATTTTTGACTGACAAGTCACGTTTAATTGCAAAGCTTTGTGCGTTGAGGGTTATTTGTGTGAGGTCAAACTTTCCGCCAGTTTGGACACCCTCGTTTGTTGACATGCCTGAACGAAAAGGGGCAAGGATTACATCGGGTACGTACATTATAGCTGGCCGGTTAGTCGGACATATCAGAGGCCACGTGCCTAAATCTTTTGGTTTGCCTTGATTTCACGGTGAGCGGTGGGATGCTCAAGGCACATGCATGTGTGGTGCTGTTCCCTCGCCGGGGCAGACAACAAGGCGGAGCGCAGTAATGTAGAATGTTTGGGAATTAGTCACGGATGTGGATACCTCCTGAAAATGCCACAATAAATGTTTCACGGATTTCTGACAAACTTAGGCATTTTGTTTTTGGCAAAGGCCTGCTTCTACTGTAGGACCTCAATTTTACTGCTCTGGCACAGTAAAATTTGGATTTAAGTCATTAAAGATGTTTGTTGCGTTTTCCAGTCGTCTATTCTACTGACGGCTGATGAATTGCCTTCCTCCAGTTCATTGAAATCACCAAAGTGATGTCGCCTTACCCCGCAGATCAGCGGTCGAACCGCCCCACAAAGACCAGATTTCATGGCACCAAAAAACGCTACATTTTAATGAGTTTCGGAATGTGGTCTTAAGGTTCGGAAGGAAGACAAGTCTGCATAATTTCAATGATTGCGTTTTAAGAGTGGTCGGCTCTATGAGACGAATCCAATTCCCGGATCATGTTGATCACTGTGAGGGTATCAATTTGGACAATTGGGTAAACCAATACCCTAGCCTAAATGCCAATTCTGTTGGCGATGATTAGGTGGGTTTTGGTGGTGACATTTAGACCGTCTTGAAAAGCACTGGTTGTATTTTGCGCATTTTCACTTTCGTCTTTCCACTTTCCAATAACCGGTAGAAGTGTTTGGTTTGATTTCCAAAAATCCCAATCAAGATGTGCTAAAATGACTTGTGTCCAAGTCCTCCTTCAGTTCACAGTCTCTCTTGACAAGAGGGAAGTCATTAATTGTGTAGCAAAAGCCTAAAATTGATGACCTCTCTGAGATAGACGTCTGCAGTGTTGGGAACACCAAAAGCTAATGCCACTCCGCATAACCGTTGTCATGCATCCCCACTGCACGAACCCTTTGGCATGAATATTTCCAAAAGGACCTTTTCAATGAACACAAATCCTCTACTAACGGTAGTTAAGGCATATGCTTCGTAATTCTAGTACCAAAAACTGACGTTAGAAAATCTCATTCATTGATAATTTTTTTATCTGCGACGTAAACAACTGTGAGAAGTAGAAAAAAAAATGATGGTTGTTATTCTAGATTGTCTACTTAGACGGTTGGCATTAACTGTGTCCCAAGAGCGGAGTAGGACCTCATTGAATTTGTAGCTTGGATAACAGGTTGTATTGCTTGGAGCATGGTCTCCTTTTGACTAGGAGTGATGCAAAAGCAGACGCATCACCTCTTTAAACATTGTTCTTACCACTGTTGGCGATGCGTCTGCACTTGCCTCAACTGGGAAGGGAGTGAGGAGGCTCGATGAGTCCTCCAGGCCCTGTTAGGGCAATGCATTGACAATTTGAACTGCAACCAGCATTCCTTCACCTGAAAAGGGGAGAAATTATGAATGAGATCCACTTTCCACTGAAGTGTATTGTGAAGTGACTCGCAATCCAGAGTGGGGATATGAGGAGGGTGGAGAGAGATAAATGATGATAAATGATGCTGACACCAACTTTTATCTTCGCTGAAGCATTGAATGGTACTTCCGACACCGCCGTTTGACGTATACATGATCGCATGCGAAACAATTTGTTGGAATGCAAAATTGAGGTTATGGAAATTACTTCAAACAGCGCAGCATCTTTCACAGAGGTGTAAGTCACAGACCATTTCGTGAATCACATGAAAAAGAATTAGTAGATAAATAGTAATGTTGAAAACCACATCGAAGTCATTGCCATCGGAAGCGGCCCAAGTTGAGTGGAGACCTTCCGTCTGGAGTAGCAGATGCTGTGTGAACAGAGAATTTTACCAAGGAAAGCGTTTTCTGAAAATGATTCTTAAGTTTGATGCACCTAACATATTTGCAAAAAGCATGACCGAGTTTTGTAAGCCGTCTTTTTTCTATCCTTAAGACCTCAAATATTCATCTGTTTAAGACTTGTACCTTTCCTTTCCATGTAACCTCATTTGTGCCAACCGATTGATACAGTTAAACGCATGAATGATTTGAGGTAGGTTTTATGGCCACCAATTTCGACGCACCTCCCCAATAGTGTCACCACATCGCACCAAATCTTATGAACACAGTCTCCTACATTTGAAATACAAAGCGGACATTCAGTCGGCGTGTTTGAAGCACTTTTTGGCAAGAGCACTTGTCGCACATTTCCGACGCCAATAATGAAGAATTTTGCATGGGGCTGTAACACATTCCTGACAAAGTGCTCATGGGAGTGTGAACATGGGCGCCTGATGCCGCCGTGTTAGGACAAAAGTAACGAAAACGTTTCTGTGCTCTCTCGCTTCCCACTTTTAGGTACATTTTTTTCGGTAATTCGCTTCAATTACTATAAAGTGAACTTTTGTTGGTCACCTTTGAACCAATCAGAGGCGTATTTTTCGTTTATTGACCAATGAGTTTACTGAAGACGCAACCTTTCCCCTTTTTAACAGATCGAATGGTGATCACGGAGAGCGTCTCACACACAGAAGGTGAGGCGTCCAATGGTGATGTTCTTTGGAGTAAGTTTTGTTGACTGAACTGACTGACGCCGTTTTTAGCCACCTCTAGGACGCCTCAAAACAAATGCTCATTTTTTTCAACTCTCATTTCTAGTGCTTTCACACGTGCGTCCCGAAATCATGTTGGCGTTGATTGTACTCACTGTGGTCGCCATTCTTCTCAGTATTGCGCTTTCCATCCGATGCGCTATGACAAAATGCTATTTTGGTGAGACTTTGTTCTGGTTTTCTTTTTTTTCCTTCTGATCACTTCTTTTGATACCATATTGGTTCATCCATAATAATCTGTTGTATGTAATTTTGGAGGACTGTAGTATCTAGTCATCGAAGCCTGGTAAAAAGCTGATTAGCACTGCTTCCAAGAGGTGGTTGAGGATTAACAATGTGAGGTGTGTCACCTCAGGGAAGCATCGACTGCTACACCTCAAATACTTCATCATCGCTTGCACTGTCAAAAATACTAACTCAGCACCTGATGAAGAACCAAAAAGAGCTTTTATGAGGCAAGGTTGGGAAATTTTGTGTCTCTGTGTTCCAAGCATTCAACTTGTCACATGCAATGGCAAGAAGATGGTAGAGTCCACGTCACATCACCTGACAGTGAGTTCTGACAAGAAAATCAAGGCGCTATTCTACACCGACGCTAGTAGTGACTGGAGTAAGGGATGTCAACGGGCAATGCAGTCACAAAATTGCTACATCTCGGTCTCCCATTATCAAACTGGCTGCTAACGCTTCAAGTCGCAAAACATTTTAATGGAGGGGATTGAGTCCTCGTTAAGTATTTGAACAAATTAATAATAAAAAATATCGGCAAAAATGTTACCCGTTGCATGAAGATTCTATCGTGTTAGAATACAAGGAAGAATGGATTTGAGGCAAATAATCTCCATACCTTCATATCTTTTATTCATTGCAAAATATCACCCAGCGCCCTTTTCCATTATTCATAAATTATCGCCTTGGAGGAGGTATTACCTCTGCTTCTGGCAATGAAATATATGTATGCTTTTTTGACGAGTCCAATGCCGACGAGAAATTATAGTATGCAGAGCTTCAGATCTTCTGGATGGGATGGAAGGCCACTGACACGCATTCGAGGTGTGTGTCAACGGGGTCCAGAGTTGCTCACCAAATCAAATAGGGAAATAAACAACAAAAAAACACTACGTAGCTCTTCTCCTCATTTGAGTGTCTTTTCTGATGCGTCTCTTGGCCAACCTTCAGTTTCAACCATTGTAAGACATCGAATTGGCTTCAATCAAGGAGATATTTGACTCCGGAAGACTTCATGGGAGAGGGTGAATCATACTGTCCCAATTCTGATCAAGAAAGGTTGACACGCTGCCATGGGAGTGTTGGTTAAAGAGTGTAGATATTTTGCAAAACACCGAAATTCCATGGAAGTGAGAAATAATGCCCATTCGTTCTCACCTTGTTGCTTGCCATCCGCGCACTTGTTCTGATCTCATTCAGCAGTAACGTAGGTAGAAGAGAATTCATGTGTTTACTGAAGAGGCACCGCATTACCATTGAACATGGAATTAATGCACTTGACAAAGAGAGACGCTGCTTTCAGCTCCTCTGTTACGAGCGTTCACAGGTTTTTTTTTCACCGGCGGCTTGCTCCTTTCTACCATCACGTTTGGTTTTACTTATCAGTAATGGAAGCCATAGCAGTTGTCCTTTGAGATTGACTCCACAGTTTACTGCCGCCAACACGGTTCTCTGAAACTTTTGAAAGGGATCTGGAGTCCTGCTGATGAGCAGAAGTCCAGTTTCCAGCGGTTAAACGGATACCCCATGCATCAAACTTTCACACTTTCCTTCACGACATGCACCACTTAAAATCATTTACAAAGAGCAAAACCGATTTGTTGTATGGCTTGTATAAAAGTATAATTCAGTTCTCTTGGCTGTAGCTAACCCGTTGTTTATTCAATCGGATTTATCCGGTGATCAGGTGTTAGTCAGGAGAATCACATGGCGTAGAGAACGAAAGACTCCAATTCGTCTAGTGGAAAAAAGCATGCCGAACAGGTGACGTTGATACAATCGTCTTCACTGTCTAAAGCGTCTCATAAGTTAGCGGTCACTTTCACCGTAATTTTGATGCTATCCTGTCTAAAATCAACAGTCTTCTACGTGTTTGTATTTGCTACTTTGATTTTCCACGAACTAGTCCAACCAGATCGACGTCAACTCTGTTGCCGACTGGTTGAACTCATGCACAACAAGCTGCAGTTATCAGGCTGGTTTAGTGACTACATCATCAGCACCGTCACAGAATTGAGGCGATTTCTCAATCCTTAGTTCCTCCTTTCTGTCCAAATAAGTGTGGGAATCCTGCCCACAATTTTCAACCGCTTCTGTCACACTTTTTCGTCGAACACCGAGACCTTTAGCGATCAACTACAGTAATTTGCTCTTTTTTGCTTCGAGAAAAGGTAAGTTGCATATTTGTGCACAAAAGAAATTGGTTACTTTTAGCATTAGTCACTGCGCGGGTTTGTGGAAGGAGGGAGTAATATTTGGATCTGCTTCTCACTCACATTTTGCCGAAGGCAATCTCACTTCAGTCTTGCCACTTGCTTCTTGCCTTCTTGTATGTTGTGAATGTCATCGCTACCCATGCATACACAGTGGTCAGGTAAGAAAAACTGAACTCGCCGAGGACAGCGGGATTTCGCGGTACTTGTAGTAAAAAATGCGGAGATTGCAGTCATTGTCTTGGCAGTTAAAAGGTGTGCACTCCACTTAGATGCTAAAAACAGTTTCGTAGCAATTCAAGGAATAACCGCACAGTCGAAATTAACTTAGCTCATTTCACTTCGCCTTGGCATTGGTAGTATGCACGATTCACCTCCATATAATCATTAACATCCTTTCATTTCTGTTTCGTGAAATGGCACTTCATTGGAAATGTGGGCAACTGACGTTCGTAGACGAAGACTGCATTTATTCAACAGTAGACACTTCAGTGTATCTATTCTGCTGAATATCTGAGTAGAAAGTGGTGGAGAAGTGTAATAAGATTTAGGCAGAAATCTTGACAAGAAGTTAAAACTTATATTGTGGCGAAATTCTTAGATAGCACTGTTTCATTATGGCCTTATTCCCCAAAGAGAATCTAGTAGCGGGTACTCCTCCGCCTGTCTAAGTTCCGACCGCTATCGAACATTCTTCCAACGCGCAACTAAGGCATAGTTCACAAGCTTTTTCTAGGCCTTTCGCATTGGGTCAATGAGCGGTGTGGATACTTAATTGATTCACGCTACTCTTATTGTTTGTGAGTAGCATGGTTTAAAGAGAATTTTATTATTCTGTTGACATCATGACCAGTCCCTCTTTGCAGCTCATTCGAAGGATCTAAACCGGATCAGCAGTTTTTAGAGTATCTCAACAACGTTACTACCAATTGCAAAGCATTACCCATTTTTCGCCACAAGTAGCACTTAAATTCGATGAGTTAACCAAATCATGGCAAAACTGTTTCAAAAATAACGAGAGTTTGTAAAATTCAGGAAAAGCGCATAACTGGAAGTATTTACCTTCTTGCGATCTCTGTCAGGTTTGTTGCGCTTTTTCCAAGCATTAAAAATGCCTATTGGTAAAGGCGCATTCACAATTGACCTTCCACCTGGTCAGGACACGACAGCATTTTCGACATTTGCACTACATAGAACTCGTTTCTTTTTTCAGACTCCCTCCAACAGGAAAACCCCGATCACTGCTTGGGTCGATGTCTGTGCTTTGAACCCACTTCGGGTAATTCATCCATCTCTAAGTGTCGCCACCACAACCAGACGCCTCAAGGCCATGTTCCCTATGGCCTAATATTGCCACCACCTCCACCACCACCTCCGCCACCACCACCTCCTCCGACGTTCTTCACTCCTTATCAGGTGGATCAGCAGTCAGAGAGCGGTGGATTACCAGCCTACACAAGAAACATCTCGCTAAGTGAGACAACAACCACTAAGCTGTTAGCACAACAGCCACCTGGAACACTGTCAACTGCGTCGTCTTCGGATACTGGGACGTCGAATCCGTTTCCCGTCTCCTTTTCAGGTAGGTTAAAGACAGATTTGGGAGTAGCTGACGTTGGTCTTTGCGAATTTTCACCTTGGCGCAACAGTGCTGGCCGAGCCACTCTTGGTACGACTACACAATGGTTGCACTAAGATTAGTTAAAAAGCTTGCGGTGCTAAAATGCTAAGAGTCTCAGAACCTGCAATAAGCAAAAGCATTCTCTCTTAAACACTTGAGATTTATAATACAGCCGGATCAAACCAACATCCGAAGGTTCGAGAGCCTGGTAACAAAAAGGGATTGAGTAGCAGATTAACAAAAAGGCCAATTAGTCACGAATTTCCAACATTGATTTAAGTGGCATCAATTGAGACTCCTATTGACCTCAATTGTTGGGTGGAAATGAATTCAATGATGGTTTCCCGTCAGGCTTGTTGAACAGGAACGTAGAAAGAAGACTTCGTAGGTGCAGGGATTTGAGTCGCCATAGCGCAACCACTCGCACTCCACCTTGATGCAAGTCGCCCTACCAAACCCATCAAAGATGGTTGCATTTTTTACAAAAAGCATAAGTTGGAGGTCATATTTTATCTTATTATCAATAAATTGCCACCAGAATCGGCTTAGTGTTGAGGGAATAAATGCTATATTTAAGTTTAAGTGAAATCCTAACACTATGACAAATAACCGGACTGCTACTTAAATGACGGATGTCTCAGTAGTATATTCGAACGCTATAATTTTTTACTTTAAATAGCTCGATTGCTTCCTATCTGGCCGTATATGAGAAACGAGTCGGTTAAAATAACCACAAAGACGACAGCGGTAGAAGGGTTGTTAGTGAAACCAAGAGGCGCTTGGCCCAAACTATCCGCGCTACCGGGATCAATCAGCCAAATTAACCGTACAGAGGCTCCGAGCCACTCATTAAGACAAATAACAAGAAATTCCAGACGAGACTAGCGGTTAACACGTGGTATTAAGGGCATAGCCACGGATGGAACGTTAACGTGAAATATGCAATCGAAACGAGGATTTATACAGAGAAAGTGCTTGCCAAAATAAGGATACGAGCTTTAATGCGATGCGAATATTACCGGATTACATGAGGAGGTTGGGGACGTGTTTATGGGCTACAAAAGAAGGCTTCAAGGGTAGACGAGGTCTAAAAAGGGGACTAACATGAGGCCACTGTCCCCTTAGTGGTTACACCAGATGTGCGTCCTGTCAAGGATATTTACGATCGGTCCCCTTCTCCCACCCTAGGCACCCTACCAGTCTATTACCCGGGCAAACGAGACAGCATCGAGATTGGTTCCGTGGCGAGCGATCCCTATAACCAGACAAAAGTTTACCTCATCAAAATGGTAGACCCCGGCGGAGACCAACACCATCAACAGCAACCACAGAAGACACGGATTGGTAATAGCATAAATAGCACCGTCTATGATGAGGAAGTTTTAAACAGTGGAGGCAGAGGAAACTTCCTCGCAGTCAATCCAACTCTGGTTCGACTTTCCAGTTCAACAGAAGCCGCTGGACTAATTCTCTGCCACCGACTAGCGGATGACGGCTCGAACTTATCGAAGACTCAATCAGAGGCAGACTTTGCAGCAGCTAGACGACTGCCATCACCGCCATAGACAAGGTCCAACGAACAGCCCTCAGCCCCGCTACCGAGGAATAATGCAGATGTCAGTTAATCATGTCCTGTCGCGGCTAGACCTGATATCTTGTGCCTTCTCGTTTGATATCCCTTACTTCCTTCCTTCTCCCTCAACCTTCGTCATGATGACTAATGCACACAACCACGGACGCATGCAAACAATATTCATGTTGATGACCTTGAAATTACCAATTGAAATGCGAACACACAAGGAGAAGCACATGTGTGCCTAAGAGGTTCGACAATTGAATGAATATTATGGTGTAAATAAAATTTACCTGATTATTCCGGAGGTAGCGTTGAGTAGCTGTGGGAGAGGGTGGCAGCACTTAATTGAATTTTTCAGTTTACTAATAAATCAGCAAAGGGGGTCTGAAAAGCTATTTGTACAAGAAGCACCGAAAGCACTAACTCTGTCAACATAAGAGATATGCTAATTCATCTCAGTGAACACTCTAAGTCCATTCTATTGTCGCAATTTCAGTCAGATATCTCGTAATTTGAACCACAACCCACGATTGCTGACACGTCGAATCGATAGGTGGAGCATCCAGTTGGCTGCTTGGAATACCCAAGGTTGGGAAATTGCCTTGTTACTGAAGAATAAAGGTTACCCGCTAGAAAGAGAAGTCGAGATATGCCTTTCCCTGATCAATGGCTAGATATGTCAGGCGCACAACCGACTGCATTTGACCATATACTTACACGAAATCTTTCTTCTAGTATTTCTTGTTAGGCGAACATCGATTTAACATTTTCTACGTTAACTTAAGCACATTAGGGTATGACAGCTGGATGCTACCAGGTTCCCACAAACTGCTGCTGTTGTGGCACACTAGCAATGATGAGATCAGGTGGATAAACCTGGCCATACATAAGTGAAGAAATCAGGAAATGGGTGGAGGTTCGTTGACGTCTCATGATGAATGGGGTGACACATGCTCTAGTAATTTAATGCAGGTGCCACAAATAGAGCATACGCAAGTGAATAGACGTCCTTGATCATGGAATAATCATATCCATCTGGCTTGGATTTACCAAAAGTTTACGATAAAATCAATGTGAGGTTCTGGTCTCCAATCAATCCCCGCTTATGTGTCAGCCAAAGCAACGGTAAGAGACACGAAGAAGACGAACTTAACGCTACTACTTAAATTAAAGTAGACATTTAATTCTCTGTTTCAAATGGATAACCAAGGCACAATGAAGCGCAAAATCTATATTCTCGGAGGAACTGTACATACATACACAAATGGACTCACAAATACCCCTTCATTTGGCGTATACCCAAGCTAGCCTGCTGCAATTCCACCGCCGTCATCTGGGAGTACAGATCTATCCCAAATCTCTGCCTATTAGCGAGAGCCAGGTCAATAACATCTCGCAAGCATAGAGTGACTAAATAAGCGAAAATGGGGATAACATCCGACCCGCTCGCACAACGTTGAATAGAGAGCCCAGCACGTGCTAGCCAGATATCAAAAGGTTGCCCCAGAAGGCGTGCTCTTTGCCGGAGTCGAGTAAATTCCAAGTACTGCTCCGTAGTAGCAACGTTGGCCACGAAGCCATCAATTCTTTGCATGCGCATATGCTGACCAGTTATTAGAAGGTGAAAAGAAGGGAGAGAAATGGAGTTCTCCAAATCAATATGGAGCTTTTCACATTCGGCGCGGAAGACAGAGAGTGCTTTGGTGGAGGTGCCATAGAATGCAAGGGGGTCAGGATTCTCCAGATCATTAGACGTTAGGGCATAAGTGGAGAGGTAGGTTAAGATGCGAGAGAGATGAAGTTTGCAATCTGCAAGAGAGTTGATTAGACGGGGAAGGGTAAGGGGAGAGACCGAATTACCCAAGAGAGAGCGGAACGCCTGGGCTAAGTATTCGCAATGCTGTTGAAGAGCTTCTACGACAAGATCAGAGACAGTACCTGTGAGGATGAAGTAGTCACCAGAAGCGAGAACGATTAGACGAAGAGCTTTGACAAAAGTCTCTGCCTCATCTGATGGACGTTCTTTGCTGGACATCTAGAATAGAAAATATCATCGCTAATTAGTTTGGAACGCGTTGCGTCGAAGAGATTTCAGCCACCTAAGCATGCTATAACCTAACAATTTTGTGTCTGGAAATAATCATACAACTTAAATGAATCAATACAGCTCACTCAACTTTTAAGCCACCATATAACGATTAACACCTATGGCCGTCAATTGGCAACTTGTAAGTACTTTACAGCACCAATAAAGGCAATCCATATGCAGTGAAGCATCTTTCCCCAACATCACCCACACATGTCTTTATGCATATGCAGTTGGTTTTTATGAACGTACATAAGATGGGAGAAGCTTAAGGATATGCGTCTACAAACAAGATTAAAGCAGCTATGAAATTTCAGTCGAATCTGATTAAGCACATAGACATGAACATATAGAACTACCGAATTTAAGTAAAATCCGCTATGTTAAGCATAGACCACGAAAAAATGTTTGCGATAAAGACTACCAAGCTATCGCCGGCTTTCTATGTATTTTCACCACGAATCTACACACAAAAATGAGAAAAAATATCACAGCAACCAAATTAACTTGTTTCAACGTGCAAAACATAAAGGCATGGGATTCCACACCAGAACATAAATGAATATCTAAGCAAAGGATACACGTTTATAGAACCAGCTTAATTGTGCGTTGATTAAAACATCAAAAAATGGTATGTAGATGAATTTTGAAGGCCAAAATACTCCATTTTAACTTTTCACAAGGCAAAATCTTTTTCTATAAGAACATATATGTGTATGATATGGTAATTAGGAACTCCTTTTGCCTTTTGCACAGTAGGATGAAAAGACATCTAAAATGAGTCACTTTTAGCTACTTAGTAATTTAAGATAACAGCATGATTGTTTATTTGCTAAATACGACTTTGATGAAAGTACTATAGTTAATATGGATCTGCCCATTAGTAGCATCAAAACGGTCAATTCCCATACTTGATACCTCTAACTCTTCCTTAAAATACAAAACGAATAAAATTTTGCGGTATTCCACCATGAGACTGTATGCTAGCCCAAAGTTTTCTATCTTGTAGTGATAGGCTTTATGTCTACCTGAATAATTGCATTCAGGCGGAAAATGCAGAGGTGAAGTCTTGGCACCGCCGGCAGAACTAAGGTGATCGCTAAAATGAAATCACTCGTTGTAGCGTTCCATGGCTTTCCGGCGGGTGGAAGAAGTCGCTAAGTGGAACTGAATCCATGTATTTCAGGGAGAACAAAGGGATTAAGCCTATGGTTGGCCCGAAGGCCAACTTAAGCGTACAATAACTGGATGATTCGTAAAGTAACTGTCAAACATCGGGTGATCACAATCAAAGTATTGCAGTCGTAAGCAAAAGCTTGTATATATGTAGTAGATTAGTTTATTATACGCCATGATTCCTTGCTCTTGGTACTCCCAATTAAAACTCGGTCCTGTATTTGCATTTGAATTCGTCGACGTGTAAAACTGCAAATATCATTTTCGATGTCCTTTTACAATGCAGTATCTGTATTTACAATGTTGTATTCTACGCATTCTTGTGCCTAATTGTCCTTTTTATTGTTCCTCGCAAAAGCAGGTGCTCTATTGTAGGTATCAAAATCGCCGACATCTCCCGTATGGTCCATATTTTGAGGCTCCTAATAAGTATCACACATAAAGTTAACATTAAAGGTTGAATGTTCTCGAATCCATAGGTCATATTTTAAAGCCTAAATAGAAGAAGATTTGACATACACCACAACAGAGAAGCGTGCTTAATCACAGACGGTAAATTTGCACCGTGGAAGTGGTGACTACAACTTTCTTACTGCCCAAATTAAAGCAGATACACGGCATCGACCTTAAAATTAGGCCAGACATTAAGCGTTTGAGAAATGGCCCAGCATGCCTCGTAGCCTGTGTACTAACTGTAACCGATTGAAACATGATGCCACTTATCGTCTCCTTCAAAGCATTTATCTGTTCGACTGCAGGACTTCCTGGCATTCGCATGGACATTTATCCTCAGCAGCCATGTCGGTGCATAAACCAACAAATATGAGATCATAAAATTTCGATAATGAAAGGAAATTCCTGATGTTGCATGCAAGAAACGTGGTTTTACTACCTATCAAATTGCAAATAATGGCGAAAGTGTTTTAAGAGGGTTTGAGAAAGTAAATTAGCTTACCTTGCATGCCTTTTTAGTAGTATTTTTTACTAAATGCTTGAAAAAATAGTTTAAATAGTAATTCGACTACTAAATTTTAGTCAAATGCTGCGATCTTGGGTGTACATCAAACGCTTTGCAATAGGGAAAGGTTAGGCAGATGGGTGAAGAATGAGAGGGGTGCACCGATGGATGGATGTAGTGTTAAAAAAGGATAAAAGGTTTTAGGATAGAGAGCTGGATGGATGAACACAGGATAGAGATCTGCAAATGATCGAAGGAGTGTAGGTAGGAAGAAGGGTGGACGGATAGACTCAGGTGGATAGACAGAGGCTAAAACAGATGAGCAGACGGCGAAAGTATTGATGAAGTGATGCGGGGTAAGAGTGAGGAGTCATTCAAACGGTGCGTCCAACCGTGATGGCTGGAGGTTCAAGATAGGAATGAGAAAACTTATGCGTCTTAAAAAGGTGCAGCATCCTTTTTGAGTACTGTTGTGCCTCTAACTGGTATCCACCGGCAATTACTTCCAGATTATTCCTATAAGACAGTCTCTCCACCCAAAGTAGAAGCAGTTTGCAATTTACGAGTTGCCTTCACACGTAAATGTTTAAAATGGCGAGCCTTCATAGTCAAATTCGGCCCCGAAAGTACGAGAATTCCATTTGTAGAAGACACCCCATTGACCATGAGTTTATTTATTAGTTGGTGTACATTTGTCAGTGCTCACGTTTGTATGTAAACTTGCCCTACGCCAGTAGGATGAGATATAAATGGCGCGTTTTATTTAGCCGATAGAAAAGAAGGCTTTGTTACCATGGCAATGACAAGCAGTTGCCCTGTCCAAATAGAATACACATGTGGACGCTCAGAGATGTGAGGCACCGTGCACTATGGGAACCACGATAGCGATGGTACTTATGATAAAGAAGAAGGGTGATGACAATGAGAAAGCCAGCCTTAACAGGGCGGTGAGTAGAAGTACTCTGAAAGGTATATTCGGAAGTAGGAGTTGAGGAAATTGCGCAGAAGATCACGCACCTCCTCATCATTCTTCACCTCGGGCATTTGAAGCTTGGAGCTCTGAGTCAAACTGCATCGAGCCACGCGTTCAATGTGAACCTTGAAGAGGTAGGGAAATACAATTGGCTCCTTGCGCCAAGTGGATTCACAGCATTCCACCATAGCTCCTTTCAAGAAGCCTTGAAGTTGGTGGTAACGAATCATCCCTTTGTTTTCCGCACTCACACGGAAATTGCCCCATTCCAGTGGTCGCTGTGTAGAAGAAGGACACACATTTTAGGTGCAAATACAACCTATTACGCTCTTCTATCTTTAGAAGCTTTGGAGACCACTTTTATCCTTTTAAGAGAATCCGAAGCATGACAGACTCGCATTAATTTTAGCAATTAATTTCCATCTTCAAGTAGTATTATTGGCAAAAGTCTACAAAAGAAGGGTACCAAATTCCCACGCATTCACATCCACCAGAAAAAAGCATAGACTTGAAGGCGCCTATTTAGAGGCAATGTGAGGTGCTAGTTGAAAAAAAGTGATGATTACCCTAAAGGAGGAGAAAGTAACGCAAAGTGGTGAACGTCACACAATAGCATCTAGGACCCACTTCAGCGTGACAGTTTTAGGGTCATGGAGTTCGACATTTCTACAAAAAATACGCAAAATACCAAGGTAGCATTCTATTGCGTTCACTCTACATTCAATTCCGTTGGGGATCATTTAGTATAAAGAGGGATTAAAGGAGAATTTGAATTACCACACCTGATAGCAAGAATAGAGGAGGTGCTACTAATAACTTTATCAGTAGCTGATGACACCTGTAAATCATACTGATGGAAGGACACGACAGTGCAGTGTAATGCAGTACAAAGCAAGGTAAACAGAAGTTCCGAAGATTAAAAGGCTGAAAAAGTAATGGCGAGACGAAGTATGCAGCTGGCGGCTAATGAGGGCATACACACGCACATACACAAGACACGACGCGTGAACACATTCAAAGGTACACTACGATGCTAGATGATTTAATGAGCCTCATTTCTCTCTGGTGGGCAATTTTATCAGCGAAAAGTGATTTAGCGATGTGTAGGACCTGAGTCTAGTTTGGGAGCCGGCTAAAGACACATTCAAAAGAAGAGGAGCCTCGACAGATGAACAAATGGATGAGAGACTAATAAAATGAGTATGTGGTTGAATGAGGGAATGAAACAATGCTTAAATATCATCAAACAAAAATGTCAAGATTGCTGCGAGTAAGAGGAGGCCTAAATGTGAGCCTTTTGTCTGTTCACGGACAGTGTGAATGACTTAAAACGTTAATAACTTGATGTTTGACAAGAACAAAAAAAGTACGCCCAGGAGACAGGATTCGGAGTAGACAGATTAGGACTTAACAGTAGCAAAAGTTGCTAATTAGGAGAAAAGACTGAAAACCGCATTGATGACAGAATGCAAGGAAGGGAAGTGCGAAAGGCTACAACAATTCAAAGGTGGGTGGATGGATAAGGGATGGACAAGGAATTAGCAAAAGAAGGGAGAAAGTTTTTGCTCAGATTCTTGGCCTAAATGCTCTTAGCGGTTTGATAGCTCAATAAGGAGAGAAAGTAACGAGGCGATAGGCAAGTTGTGGTAAACGAGAACTAAAACCTTGGAAAATAAACGAGTTTGTAGTTGGGAATGATGCAAAAGCGTGCAAGGAAATGCTGCTAGCACTGGCACCCTGAGAAGTTGACTGTGGACACAAAGTCTAGGCGTAAAAAATTGCCGTGATGGGTTTTTTTGGTTCAATTTTTAAAAGTCAGTACTGATCTGCTCACTCTCAAGAGTAAAGTGGGTCAGAGTTATCAAGTAATTGCAATGAAGCAGAAGCAGATCTTTCGCCGCTTCGCTCTCACCTCTCCCAATGTTGGGAAAGAGGAGGACTTCTTTACTCCGAACCACCAACTACCTCTTGACATAGAAAAAAAAACTCACGTGTTGAAGCAGTTGGGCATCAAACATGCGCGATGTGAAGGCGCATTCAAAGTGGATGCTTCCTTTGGCAGGACAGTTGGGATTGAAGGCCGCCCAGTAACGGCACTTCTGTAAATCCACCGGATTAATTGACTCGAGCTTGAGGGAGAGAAAATGAGGATCGGGCAACACCTGAATTGTCTCATTGATACGCAGAATGCTGTCAGCAAGGGAGAGGAAACGTTGCCATGTGCTCTGCGTGATTTTGGGGGCTTTTGGCTTTGGGAAACCTATCCAATCGGTCAAAAGAGTGGAAAAGATGGTGCATTAGGCCACCCACTCACTTCCAAATGGAAGTTCTTAAGGAATGCATTATACGCATTCTGATGAATGTTTGACATTGTGTCCTCAGAATACGCTTGTTGTGAGAGCAACTTTTTCGGTGGGGTTAGCTAGCAACTGAATTAACAAGTTCTCACATTGGAAGCTGGGGAAGAAGAAGGAAACCCAGAAGGAAACAAGGAGGAGTTCAAGTGTCTTTAATGATTTCATTCACAGTAGCACAGTTAAAAATCGAGACACCACTTATTTGATCACCTCATTCCTAAATGCCAATGCATTCTAAAGTGGGTCCCGACGCTTACACTTGCACAATGAAACAGGCAAATTAACGGCCTAAGCTGTGGATGAAGGATCCAAGGGTTGGATGTAAGATGGACATTTGAAAGCTTAGCAGAGGGTTGAGTGCACCACTGAGTAAACAAACGATTTGCCACCTGCACTGACAAAACCGAATGAATTTGTAGATTTGCAGAAATGAGAAAGCAGACACAAACGAGTGTGTGGCATTAGGAAATACCAAAAAAAGTAACCAATACTCACCCCAAGAGGGCACCTCAGCAAGAGGGAGCAGTAGAAAGAGAAGGAGAGGAATTATTATCTTTTCCGATTTGTGCATGCCTTTGATCTTGATGAGATCGCGTACCATTGCCACGCCACTTAAATAGCCCGCCCTTGAAGTTGGTCTCAATTCCTATTGGCTGCTTACTTTTGTTGTGCGTGTGTGTGTGTGTGTAAATGGGTACACTTGTGTGGGCCTCCACAGCCATATGCGTAAACACCGACTTTTAAAGGTGTCTGTTCTCTACTCTCTCACTCCATCCTACACAAATTACCACTATGCCTCAGGGAAACACAACGCCGACCCGAAGTGACTGTTTGACAAGTGAACAAATCAGTCGGCAAACTCCCTCTCAGTTGAGTCGAAATCGCATACAGTTGTTAGGCGTTTCCCTACACTGAAAGAGTTGACTTATGTAGTGAAATAAAGTGAGTGAAGCGAAAAGTAGGCTAGCATTTTGTTGGGTGAGCACCGGCCTAGGAGGGGAAAACACCAGACCCAGTTGGAATGCACTTTAGCATAATTTTTTTTGCAAAAAAAGCCTCCACATAAATTCATGTCGAATGAGGGGGAGGGGCGTGAGAGCCTGAAATATGGTGGCACTTACTTTAAGCCAGTAAGACAGTGGGTCCCATCGACATTCCAAAAGAGCAGCACACAGCAATTTGTTAAGGCGAGCCATTTCCCTCTCGCCAGCTTCCATTTTTTTATTTGGTTGTGAGCGTCTGCAAGTATTAGGAGGCGATGGCGATGATGATAGCAATAAGTCTTGCTTTAGGCAAGTACGCCTTTCCCACGAATGGGGTGAGGGCGAATCTTGCGGAAGACACATAAAGTCTGGAAATGCTTCAGACATAGTTAAACATTCCTTGGTTCCCGGTAGCCGAATTCTTAGATTTCCACTTGTAAGTTAACAAGCGGAGTATTTGCCAAGTGACAATTAGTCGACAGACCACCCAGAAGGGCAGGAGCGATAGCATCGGTCGAGCAATAAAGGACGGTCCGCTAAAGCTTCGCGAAGAGTGGACTTGTGGTGCGCGAGGTTATTTTTTCGTGCTGGCTGTTGCACAGAGGTGTGGTGGTAAAGCGAAAGCCGCTCAACGATAACATGAAAAGCTGCTTCTGATGACAACCCTAAAATATAGGTTTCCTTGCTGTTGAGTATTAAAAAGTCAGAGATGAAGTTGTCGTAATGTACTTTTGCAGCCTGCTAGTATGGGAGAAGAAATATTTAGTTTAGCTTCAGGGTAAAAAGGAAGTTTGATGATTTTCAAGGGAATGAGGAACATCGAGACGTCTTCATGTGCCACTTTGTCGTTATGGAATGGTCTTAAGTAGACAGATCGACTCGAGATGACTGGCTTTTGCTCCTATGTTAAATAAATGGATGAAAAATCAACTTCCTACCTACTCCAAGCTTCCGAGGTGCAATATTATTCCTGGAAAACCAATCCTCAGTGTTCAATTAGTATTGTTCTGTTGAAGGTCAAACTGCCAAGTTCCACTCAATATGAGCCCTCACAACTCCACTGTATGCGAGGTAACATTCCAAGGAAGGGGAGGGTCAACATCTCATCTTCTATTACTAACCCATTGTGAAGTGATCTTCCTTTTGAGACAGGAGAAGGAAGAGCGTAAAATGAAATATCCAATCCTCATTCAAACCCTTTTACTTCCATATGATGCCGTTACTCTTCCTCTGCTTTAAACAATCCCCTCCTAGACAGTCTCGGAGGAAACTAGGGCTTCCATATGCAAAACACTCAATCACATCACAGTACGATACAATAACTGGATGTTTTGTTAAATAAATGTCTCAAGAACCCAATTGGACCAAATATGACCGAGGGAGTGCTTTAATAGTCTCGACCACCATCTGCCTCATGCAGTGTCCTTTGAAATGTGAAATAACATTCAGTCCTCAAATAATTACGAACAGAAGATAATAATTTTAAAAAAGGCATGCTCGCAAAAAATGAAAATGCCAGAGAAGATAATTTTCTATACATTAAAAGAATGCGATACTTTCATCAGGCTGAATATTGTTAGGGAATGATTATTTGTATTAAATCAACTCTGCAGTTTAATCTACTTATAAACTCTTAAGTAGCAGAGATGGCCCTGGTCTTATGGAATGAACAGATGCAGACGATTTCTTAAGTTTGCCATTTTTTACTCCACTGACGATCACCCTATGGCAGAATCACCTTAGAGTGAAATGAAACCACAAACTTAAAGATTTCTTATTTTAAATTTTTGTTCCGAAAGTCTTGTTGCTCGCAACTTATAAGTAGGATTAAAGAGAACACAAATAATTATAACCGAAATAGTGAGCACGTGCGTTGCACGAGTCAATAGCAATACAAAACTGACGCAAATTTCACACAGCGTTCGCTTAAAAAGTTTTACATTTAAGAAGCCCAAACTAATTGGGCCAGAGACGAGTATTAAGAGGGCAGCTGATGCGTCGTGAAATCCTCGTACCACTGGACAGGGCGCCATTTTGCGGCAGCATGAGTACAAGATTTTGAAATCGCAGCCAAGCCTCCAATGAAATCAGCGGTGGCATCATCCACGCACAGTTCAAAGTGGAGAACAGAGACCTTGAGGCGTCTTAATGCTGGCTAGAACAGCCAAACAAAAAATCTCCAAGATGGGTGATTTGTTATGGGAACTGTCAGCCTTCCACAAGAAGCAAAGTATTTGTTGGAACCGGTAAAGGATAAAAATGGAACCACCTCAGAACGCGATAACAGATGATCCAACACAATCTCGTCTCTCCTCATGTTTGATTACCTGGATAAAAATCCACCGGTGGTACCCGCACACCCCATCAAGGAACCACAGACAATGATTCCACCAACAAGGCGCAAAACTACACAATCTCACCAGTTTATTTAATAAATACTTGGCAATACTAATATGGCATCTAAAACAAGTAGACATATTACTGTTGAAAAGGCAGTTTGGCAAAATCATCCGTAGGTTCGGTTGCAATTACATCAAAGAGAGTGTCAAAAGTATAGTCATCAAGATTTTCTGTATCAGTACAACCAATAATGTCAGCATCATCCAAATTCGACTCGACATTCACCGCAGACGCAAAGAACTCATCTACAATCTCTTGGTCCACGGAAGGCGCAGTTCTGTCTTCTCGGGGCATGGGAGAACCGTAGTCCTCGCCGTCAGCCGCAGGACCGACACTCGGAAGTTGAATGTAACCGGATGGAGAGGATGCGGATGATACCAGGGCGAAACGGCGCTGATGGAGGTTATGAAAGTCAAAATCGTCCTGGTTCACGGCGTAGGAAGAAAAATTATGAAGAGGAGGGAATGGAGGAACAAAATTAGGTACAGGAAGGTTCCGGAGTGCATGCTTCCGCGTAATTTTGCGACTGTTACGACGTGGGGTCCGACGAGGACTGTCACAAGAACGAGATTCACAGATTGTGGTGAATGGGCCAGCAGGTAGAACACAAGCTGGCGGATGTGACTCATCCCCTAGCAGTTCCGTAAGCTTTCGATGAGCTTCAAGAGCCCGATCCCGCTGAGATACCGCGTAGTCACCGTCCCGATTTCGAGACCTAGAGCAAAATTTAAGACGATTATGAAAATTTGGCTTACGCTTTGTCTTCCTTCAGCACAGCTTCAACCACATCAGCAACGATTTTGTGGCGCTGCATAGGAGGGATGACATAAGGTCTGTCGGTTATTGGGATCCCAAGTTTGAGACACTCGTTTTCAAGGATATCTATCTCCCTCACGAGGCGTTCATAAATAGCCATGTCATGGATTTCATCCTCGATCATACCGCACGATATCTGCAGAAGCTGTGGATAAGACAGCTTATCTGGACCCTTTCCAGCACCATCAAGATGTCGGCGGATGTCCTCCTCCGTAATGCACGTACGAATCATTTCATAAATGATAGCCAACTCGCGCCGACGTCCGCGCTCTTGCTCGTTGTGATCCATTTGAGCCTGTCGATCCCTGGCGTCAGATGCCTTTCGAGAACCATTTAAGAAACGGTTGGCTTTTTTGGGGGGAGCGGCTTCAAAGACATCTCTGGCCTCATAATCTGTTTCGAATTCGGTGTTCGACTGAAGAAACGTAGTTACGTTCTGGTCGCAGGGAAGTCGCTGTTTCCGCGACCGCGACGACAACTGCCGATTCATGAACACCGCTTAAAAAGGCTAAAATAATAGAAACGATTACCCCAAACGCCTAAACATGACAAAAAAACAACAAACTCACCAATTGCGCAAAAGCACGCAAAGCCCACGCAGAAAGGGCAGGAGGGCCGCCCGTTGCAAACATTTAAACAAACAAACGATTTTGCAATTATGTTCTATTTTTATGATCACAAAGCAATCTGCTAAGCAGCAATTGCATATTTATTGTTTGAATAAAAATTGCAAAGGATCTTTTAAAATGCATCTGTAATAAGAGAGAAGTGTATAACATTTTAAAATTGTTTTTTACTATTTTTTATCCCATCACCCTACAGTTTCTAGGCCATTATAGTAAAATTTTATCAGCCAGTAAAACACATTGCATTTTAATAAGTTTATCGAGTGCACTGCCATTTGTTTACGTTAAGTTTTCGCTCAGAATTCGGTTTTGTATAAAAAATTGTAAGAGCTGCCTATCTCTCTCAGACTTCAAGAGAGGGTTGGTTGCAGATGAATTATTAGGCACTCGTTACAGGAAGAATGGGGATTAGGATGCAGATGAGCCGAATGGGAGATATCAACTGTCGAGAGACACCTCACCGTCTTCGCTCACGTGATTCGCGTTCCCAATTGGTTCCCGCCTCTCTCCTATAAAAGTCAACCTAGAAAAACTTGAATATATTACAAAAATCAAGATAGAAGTAATTGTATCGTGTAGATCCCGCCTACCTGCTCTCAGATCCCTGAGCCTTGAACTTAGGGAGAGAGTTATAGCATCTTGAGACTCCTTACTGTGTGGAAGAAGGCAGTAATTGAGGCTAGATTCATGTATCCCAAAGAAGACAGAACAAATCGGCCTGAGCATGGCTTGAATGCCAGCTCATGTGTACAAGGGCCAGACAAATCCTAAAGGGATCGCCAAACACCATGCGGTCACATAAACAAAGTATTACAGTGACCTAATCTTGTTATGATGTACTGCTTAAGGCTTAGTTCCGATTTCTGCATTCCTGCTGAGGTACGTCGTGAGTGATAGGATTTTGATTATTGGGTAGAAGTCCCGTTGGGTTCCTGGTGGAGGGATCGGTCTATACAATTGTACCAAATCTCTTTCGTTAAAGACATTTGCTAGGTTTTGTCGGACATGTACTTTCTGCGATTGTGTGCGCCCAGCGTTAAACGCTTTTCTAAGGCCTTTCGCATGGCATACTGAGGCACTTTACCTACTGGCGGTTTCTTACGGAGAAGAGGAACATCGGAAGGAACTTAAATTTCACGGACCGTGGGCATCTTGAAACGTGAAACTTTAGTCGAGGTGTGGGCAAGGGCTCGGTAAGCAAGGTTGGCGCGTTCTAGGTGTAAATCGCAGTCCTCCGGTTGCACTCCTTTGTCCTGAGAATGATCCGGCGTCGTAAGCCTTTCGCGAATTCCAAAGGCTTTACACAACTCTTTGAAGAGACGACTTTTAAAGTTCGCCTATTGGTTGCTCCGTACAGAATCAGGCCCATCATTTTTTGGCAAATCTGGCTATTGAGAATTTGGTTGCCATTGTGTCACGACTCTGAGTATGTAATGGTCCAGCTTTCTCAATCTTAGCAAAATAGTTTATCCTCAATAAAATATTTCAATCCTCTTTCGGAGTCGCTGGAAGTGGGCCTATGAAACCTAATCTTACTCTCTCCTCCTGAAAAACTCCTGGACATCGGTTGAAAAGGGGATACCGCGGGGCGGGTCGAGTTCTTGAAGTTGGTACACTTGATGTACGCGAGACAAAAATTGGAGACATCCGATGTCAGCGAGGGCCACCACTACCTTTTCCTTGCGGTGTTAATCATCTCCCTTCACCCCACATGGTCAAATTGCTCATGTACCTCCAACACAGCTGCCTGCGTCGAGGAGCTTGGTACTACGAGGCGTTTAGAACCTGCCGCATTGTCGTCCTTGTATGACATGATGTAATTTTCAAAGAGAGTTTTCTCCAGTTCTGCCATATTTGTTTAGCTCTCTTGCTCAGTGAGGTCATCTTCTCGCCTGTGGGCTTGGTCGAGGATGCCCTTAGTCTCTCATGAACTAAAGCTGTATCGGGATCGGAGCTCTGCGTGTCTCTTGCTCGCTCAATAGCAATACAACTGCTGTACACGAGGAGGGAGGTCTCCGTGACAGGGCATCCGCATTGCCGTAGGACCTTCCTTTCCTATATTGAATGATAAAATCATATTGCTGGAGCTCCTTGTACCACCTCGAAACGGAGTGGTCGATCTTCATCGTCTTTAACTATTTTAGTGCTTGATGGACTGTCCTCGCAACGTACTGCTTTCCTATCAAGTAGCGCTTAAATCCCTAAGCGTTGTATGGATGGCGAACAAGTCCCGTTTCGTTGTATTCTTCTGTTTCATCATTTTACTTAGACATGAGCTGGCGCAAGCGATCACCCATTCTGTCCCGTATTTGTCCTTTTGTAGTGCCGTTCCGCCAGCCGCTACATCACTTGCGTCTGTGTTCAGCACAAAAGGAGGAGCCTCAGAATTAAAGTTTGGTAAAGCCAAGATCACGCTTCATCTTCTTAAACGCTTCTGTGTGGTCGTATTCCCAACGGAGCCCCTTCTTAGCCTCTTTTTGGTCAACAAGTTGGACAAATCAAGGAAACTGCGAATTTCCGCTTAGCTAATAAGTGTTGATCACCTCTTCACTTGTCTTGTTCGGTCTTCCGTGACCGTCATCCCGTCTGCAGAAATTGTGTACCCCAGAAACGTGTCCGACCTTTGGCGAAAACTGCACTCCCTCGAATTCAGCGTTAGACGTGCTTCCCGAAGGCGATCCAGTACTAATCGGAGGTTGGAGTTATGTTGTCTGATGCTTCTCCCGAACACGAGGATTTAGTCCAAATAGATAATGCGGTGTTTCGGGAATAGGCCACGCGATGCCGTCTGCATAAGTCGCTGGAAGGTGAGTGCCGCGTTGCAAAGCCCAAAAGGCATCGTTTGGAACTCATATAGTCCATTTGGCGCAATAAAGGCTGTTTTTTTTTCTTTATCCTTCTCCGCTACCTCCACCTGCCAGTAGCCGGACTTCAGATCCTATGTCGGAACCACTTCGCTCCTTGCAGAGAGTCCAACGAGTGGTTGATGTGGGGTAGAGGGAACGCGTCCTTCTTTGTTACTGCATTGAGCCTCCCCTAATCGAAGCATAGACGTAGGCTGCCTTCACTCTTTTTAATTAATGCGATGGGGGAGGCCCAGGGGTGACTGGGACGGCTTGATAACGTTATTGCGCAGAATCTCATCAATCAATCGATGTACTTCGCCTTGGAGGGGTGGAGGTATGCATCGCGGGGGCTACCAGACTGGTTTGACCTC